ATAGATAATAGATAATAGATAATATAGAATATATAATATATAATAATATTCGCACACCCCCTGTGAGTTGGACTCTGTTGGTTTAGGGGTTTAGGGGCTTTAGGTTTTAGGGTTTAGGGTTTAAGGAAAGCGCTCTTGATAGACCTGCACAATCGGGAACCACAACTAGAATCATAACTAAATCCGCACATCGTCGCGACAGTCTACTGGTGGGCTTCTGCTTCCTGTAACCTGAACATGCTTTAGCAGACCCGGAAATCTCCATTCGCTGCAACAGCAGGGACGCCAGGCGGCTGATGACACTGACTGTGCTCACTATGCCGCGATGCAAGGTAAGTACAGTGTAAAGAAAGCTTTGGGGCTGTTGCCTCTACTGGCTCACGAAGAGCACAGAAACATGCGTTCACAACTTCGACATCCGGAGCTCGAGACCGAATCCGGAATTGGAACAAAAAGTCTGAGAGAATTAGCTGCCGACATTCCATAGCGCAGTAACATGATCCCTTCCCCCGCTCGCATGACTCTTCCGTCGTTGCTCTCTGATCGTCGCCACCCTGAGCTCCAAAATAATCTAAGAAACAATATACTACACTATGTTTGAAAACAACATCATATATTATATTCGGATGGAAGCATGATTATGTATAATTTTACGGCCCCTGCGCCTCTGCTCGGTCCCTGCTGCGTTGTGTAGCGTGCTTGGCCCGATCTTCACGACCTGGACCTCACAGACTGCGAAACCAACACGGGGCTCTTGGTAACGAACTTAGCTTTCTTGCACACGGGTAGTTCTCTAAAGCAGGGTCCCTGTTTAGGTCCCCCAAGTAGTACGGCACCCTTCCAAAAAGGACCCAAAAGGGCCCACGATTTAGAGAACTGCTGTTGGTGGTATGAATCTTGCATTACCTTAAGGACCATGCTCAACCGTACCATTATTGCAAGATCCTTGGCAATCACCCAGCGCATGGTTCGAGCCTCGCTGCCAGCCCGGAATATTCCAGTAAAGGGCTTCGGGTTTACCTGTAACCGAAAAGACCTACCGTTTTAAGGAACTCTATATCTCTCTATATATATATATATATAGAAAACATAATAAGGAACCCTTGGTCTTTTCGGTTACAGGTAAGGTTTCGGGCCTAGATCCGAAACTTCCGTGGGCATACTGCACCGACATCCATACAAGCCAAACGCAACTCCATCGTCCCGCCTTCGGCTCAACTCCGGCGTTGCGGGAAGCTTGAAGAAACTGCGCAGGAGCTGCGAGGACCACCTCTCGAAACATCTGCGCATGAGATGGAGAATTCAGCTGACGGACTGCCACTCGGCCTGACAATAGTAACAACAATAACAAACGTTGCCATAGCAACAGCGAAAATCCAAAAAAAACATAACGGTAACAGGAACAACCCCCAGCCTCGAGCTTCGAAAGACTTTTGCTTGCAAACCGTGTGACTTTGGCCCTTATGGAAACCCGAAACTCCCAAACCCTAAGTCTTCAATGTTACGGGGGTAGGGTTAAACGGTGTAGGGTTATAAGTTATAAGTGACTTCCGGTTTTCGGGCTGATCCTTGTGGCTTTGCAGCTTCATCAATTAGGGAGCCTCTGTGTGTGTGTGTGTGTGTGTGTGTGTGGGGTTTTGTGTGTGTGTGTTTGTGTGTTCGTTCTTGGTGGCTGCGAAAAGCTCTGTCTGTCTGCTAGTCTACTGCTCTGCTCCTGCCTGTCTGTCTATCTCCCCTCTCTCTATGGATGGATGTCTGCTTTGGTTTCCATGCAGACAAAAAATCCAGCAGCAAGATATGACGAAAGACTTGCGCACACTGAGGCAAAACCTTGCGACGCTACACTGCAAAGCTATGTTCGGTTGTCCTTGCTCCACCATGTTGGATCACACTTTGCCGAACGATACTGCAGTACATTAAACTCTTAGAACTGCACTGTACTGATTCACTGATATTTTGTGGCTATGTACGCCGGTTATACCCTAAACCCTAAACCCGTAAACCCGTAAACCCTAAACCCTAAACCCCTAAACCCCTAAACCCCTAAACCCAATGACTCGATAGGTTCAGCCGAGGTCGGCACCCAAGTAGCCAGGAAATCAGCGGATTTGGGCTTTCTCCTGCCGGAGGCTTGGGCCCCTCAGTTTTAGGCTTTCGGGGGAATGGGGATAGGGGTTTTGCTTTTTTTTGAGGGCATTTTTCCGTCTGCTAGAGTCTAGCTCGAGAATCTAGGGGGTTTAGGGTTTAGGATGGAGGGGTTTGGGATGTTAGGGGCGGGGTGGGTGCCTAGTTTGCGGCTGCGCTCCAGAAGCTTGCGCTGGTGCGCAAGCGAAGCGGCGAAGCGTGCGAGTCGACTGCCGGTTCTTCAGGTTAGGGGTTCCCTAACGTCTGCGGATCCCTCTATTATCTATTTAGTGTCTTCTCGCGGGTCCCTAATTTCTGAAAGCGCCACATTCTGAAGTACAGTAGGTGTTAAAACCCAAGCGGTCATAAACCGCCATTTCCCGCATCGTCATCGTTGTCCCCATCCTCATCTCTGTCCTCATCTCCGTCCGGTTCATTCCTACTCTGCTCATGATCAGGCTGACGAACCAAAGAAGACCATCCCACTGATCACACAGCCGGTCACATTGTAAACGCTCCCGAGACAAACCTGCATATTCATGCCGCAAAAAACGACCCTACAACACGACAGTTGCGACCGCAAGCCGTAAACCCCAGAACCCTATTTACTATGAACCTCCGATAAAGATTTGAATCCTTGTAAAGAACGAAACCAATAGAGCAAAAAAAAATCAGTCGAATATCGGCCTTCAGTGCGGTGAAGGCTCTGAAAAGGCGTCCCCGGATTTCCTGTGCGTCAAGCTACAGATGCGGTTCAGGGCTTTGGGTGGAACCCTATACAGCTCCTGTCGAACCTACAGCAACCGTGTGAATGTCGAGCCTTGCATGAGGGAGGGTTCGGAGAGCCTGCAGGCTTGCACGGGCTTCACGCAACATTGCGACTGCAGTCCGCATCGTTACCAGCACCACGAACAGAAACCCCGCATTATCATCGTCATCATCATCATTATCATCATCATCACCATCTGCAGCAGCAAAGGCCTATCCATCGGAAAGCGTCCGGATCAGATTGCTTTGTGCGCGAGGTGGTATGTCTTTGGTCTCTGAACTGGGAACCTATCGCGCCGAACTCAAACTCACCCGCTTTGCCATGGTGTTTGGCAGCGGATGTGCTGGCTACAAAAAACACGCTTCACTTGCTCACTGGCTCACTGCGTCGCCCAAGCTCTTGGCACCACTCTTGTCGAAGGCGGTCTTGCCAAGGTACACGAGCAATGCCGCCGTGAAGAAGAGCAGGTAAGTCAGGTCGGAAGAGGTTGACTCCTCGTAGTAAATGGGGGTGTCGAAGTCGCCGTTGTACGGAAGATCGGCTTCAGCGAAGGCAGGCTGAACAACCCTCGGCGTCTCGCGCATGCATTCTCGTGTCAATTCTTTCACATCAAACTCAGAAACACATGCTTCGACATGCCTAGAATTGCCGCTCGTTTCTGGGCCCCCAGCACCATGGGTGCCAGCGCAGCGAGGACGTCGGCGCGAGGCATGTCCTTGGGCGCAGCCACAAAGGCCGTGCTTCGGCAAAGTGCGGCCACGGCTGCGGCCAGCAGCATCAGCGACATCACGCGACGAGCCATGACTATGCACTACAGAGAATGTGTCCCGAGGCAGACTTTGAGCCAGTGAGCAGCACTGCAGAAACGAACAATAAGCGGTCCCGCCATGCAAGCCACTGGTGGCTTGCCTTTGCCTTGGGAGATGTGCTGAGAACAATAAATATGTACGAAAGTGCAATTCAATTCCCTTCTTTGCCTGGCTGCGGCATGCACGCGCAGCCACAGACAGTCCTGCGACAACTAGAGCTATCGCACATTACAGGCCTCCAACGGCCGTAAAAATGCGCTTCACTTGCTCACTGGCTCACTGCGTCGCCCAAGCTCTTGGCACCACTCTTGTCGAAGGCGGTCTTGCCAAGGTACACAAGCAATGCCGCTGTGAAGAAGAGCAGGTAAGTCAGGTCGGAAGAGGTTGACTCCTCGTAGTAAATGGGGGTGTCGAAGTCGCCGTTGTACGGAAGATCGGCTTCAGCGAAGGCAGGCTGAACAACCCTCGGCGTCTCGCGCATGCATTCTCGTGTCAATTCTTTCACATCAAACTCAGAAACACATGCTTCGACATGCCTAGAATTGCCGCTCGTTTCTGGGCCCCCAGCACCATGGGTGCCAGCGCAGCGAGGACGTCGGCGCGAGGCATGTCCTTGGGCGCAGCCACGAAGGCCGTGCTTCGGCAAAGCGCGGCCACGGCTGCGGCCAGCAGCATCAGCGACATCACGCGACGAGCCATGGTTCCCGTTTCTTGAGGACCTGAAACACCTACTCAACAGCTTGGCACAGTTCTGCAAGCCTAAAGCAGCGAAAGATTATGCTCAAGCAAACTGGGTATGACAACTCCGCCACTGCTTCAGCTTGTCCACAACATCTCCAAGCCCTCAGCACCCGCAGCTGCCTTCTTAGCATCGTTGACTCTGCGACAAGCCGTCACGAGCTGCTTTGCGCACGTTGGTATGAAGTCTCTGTCTAGGACTGAAAAGAGCGGTATCTGCACGGCTGTCGGGCAGCTTCCGAGCAAGTACTCGCCACAGCAAAAAACACGCTTCACTTGCTCACTGCGTCGCCCAAGCTCTTGGCGCCACTCTTGTCGAAGGCGGTCTTGCCAAGGTACACGAGCAATGCCGCTGTGAAGAAGAGCAG